CAATTCACCCATACTCAATTTACCAACAATCAACACACCAACACTCAATTCACTGACAAAATAATTATACCAGAATTATGTTTACTGTATGAGTTAAATAAATTAATTTCAATAATAGGTTTGTGATTTTGACAGTAGGTGTTCTTTATAATCAATATAAATATTTAGAATTTGTAATTTACCACTATAGCAATATATCACTACTTCTTAAACTTAAAGGTCATATCAGAGTTCCAACATACAAATCTCGCTTATGATTAGTAATATAGATTACTAATATAAGCGGGGTTTGAATATTGAAACCCGACATCACACGACAAGACAATTAAGTTAGAGATTTTGACTTTTGGAATTTTGGCATAGAGCAATACATGCTATAGCAGTAAATTACAATGCACAAATATTTATTTTAATATCTGTCTGCTTTGTCTAATTTTGGTAATTTGTTTGGATATAATAATGTTGCTATATATCAATTAGTAATGCCTTTATCAATTTAACAGGCAGTTTCAAATCATTACTACTCTACAACCAAAATACAATAAAAGCATAAGATACAGTGAAGCCTATAGTGTGAGCACTCTGTACTATTTTAGATATTATATGTGGCAGATCTGCATAACAACCAATTAGCTTTAAGTATGTATATGACTCGCCAATCATTAGTATAGCATGATATGCCTAAAAGTCTTTGCTGCTTTAAAATAAATCACTACTGCTCAACAAATATAGACAAATTCACAAAAAAAAAACCATTACTTGATAGCTACAGGAAAGTTTTACAAAGTTATGAATTTTTTTTGCGAATTTATGTTTATTTGTTGAGGAGTAGTGATTTTGGATATCTTTAGGGTGCTCGCACCATACTCAAAAAAAGGAAAAAAGATTTAGTTTGTGAACCAGAATCTTACTGCAATCATCTATAACTAACGATACTTATTTACATGACTATGAGCTTCATTTATATTATTCAATATCTATGTTGCATCTCGAGTCAATCCCGAAATAGCATTTATTAATGCTATTTCACATGCCAACTATTGAATATTTCCCAATACAATGGGTTACAACAAGTTGTTCACTAGTACTATCTTAAAATGTTAAATCAAACAAGCTAAATACTTCCAAGTTCTTAAAATTTTTTTTATAAAAAAGTTATAGCAGATTAAAGTTACAGCATTTTTATAATTAAATATGAAATTTGGCTATCTTTTATATATATATATAAAAATTTTGGACTCGTTAAACAATTAATTTAATTTCATATATTTTAAAATTTTAAAATTTAGTCACTTTATATATAAATATTATCCAAATGTTCAAATTGGCCTCTTCATATATATATAAAAAAAAATCTGAATTTGGCTGTTAATTCAAGTTGATGTAAGTCAACAGATCGAAAAGCTGGCTAAGCAGTGACGTGCCTGCCAAAATCAGAAAACTGATCAGAGACCAGTTCAGCGGTTATCAGGACGAATTAAGAAAATTCCCAAATGCATGAGATAACACATGCGAAGATAAGTGTCATTTAATCAACTGCTCTGTTTAGAATTATTAATAGTTACTAATCGGAACCTTATTATATATGGGAATAGAGCCTGCGTACGATCAGACAATTTGCGATTGTAGAAGCAAGTTCGCAGAATGAGCAAACCAAAAACATGAAACAGCAATAAGGGCAGAAGTGATGATACGGTTTCTGTAAGCTCAGCTGAAACTGTCGGGTCAGTAGACAATCAGGAATAAGAGGACCCCGCAACAGATATAGAGTCAAGAATGAGGTCATATATTGACTTAGCAATTCAAGCAGTGTCAGTTTCAATAACGCAAAATATGCAGCAGCTTATTAATCAGCAAGCGGAGACCCAACGCGAATAGAATATACAACTAATGGAAACAATCAATCAAAGGCTGATGCAAATAGAACAACCTAACATCAACAGTAATAGCCCACACAATTCAAATAACATACAGCAAGACGTGATTCAACAAAGAACGAATGATACAAGAAACAACAGTGAAGCAGCACAAGGTAATTACCCACCAACTCCTGTAATTAATAGTTTATTGCTAGTATCAGGTACAAAAGACCGGGGCATTGAGTTGGCAAACAACTCAAAAGTAATTTCCTACAAAATGACTGGCAGGAAGTTTCCTTCGTTTGTTTATGTGTTCAAAGAAAATATAAATGTGACCCAAGGGTTTCTTAACAAGAAAGCTATTGAGACTGAGCAAATATATTTATGGTAGGTCTCCAATTGGCTCGAAGGTCAAAGAAAAATTGAGACATTACCAAGGAAACCTAGTTTGTCAAATAAGTTGTGGAAAACAATAGCCTTTGGGTTATTCGTAGATCTACAGAAATTTACACAGAAAAGCTTAGTTAATAATATGAAATCGACAGATAAGGATACAGTATTGCAAACATCAGAAGGTGGTATTGTAATGATCAAAAAACGGAAGCAAAATACAGTGTTCGAAAATATATCAGATTGGTTAATTTCATTCAAAGCATACATGGATGCCGTACTTATAATATATAGTAATCGAAAACTAGAAATGAATATATACCGGGACCATATTAATGAATTATGTGCCAAATATAAGTTTTTAGCAGTAATGTTATATGATGAGGATCGTAAAATTGCATTAGTGATGAACTAAAACTCGACGTTAATTGAAAGAAATATTGAGTCAGAAGGAAAAAATTCCGATATGCTGCTATCAAGAAAGTGTGAAATGAATGGCAACAGAGTAATTGGGTTAATACAGCATGGCATGATAGTAGAGAAATATGTCTCAATTGGAACAAAAGAGTATACGCAGAAGAAAGAAACTGCGGCAGAGTACATGCTTGCATAATATATAGGAAATTAGGACACAAGGAAAAGAATTGTTTTCGTAAATATCCTAAGCTTAGAAATACACCGGCATCAAATATAGAACTGCAGAGGAGTGGACAGCATAGCAGTACCAACAATTAATAAAAAAAAAAAAAATTATTGAAATTAAAAAAAAAAAAGATAATAATAAATAAATAAATAAATAAGGAAATATATATAAAAAAAAAAAAAGAACATACGAACAAATAAATAAATAAATAAACAGTATTTATATATATACATTTAATAACACTAATAAGTATATGCATATTTACAGTAAAAACTAATTTACTAAAATTTTTTCACAGTGGCTCCTACTAGCAGGCTATCTAAGTTCAAGTACAGATCTCAATTTAAGTTATCTAGAGCAATAATGGCAGTTGAAATACCAACATTACAATCAGTTAACTATACGATTAGTGCAACACCTCCAACAGATGTTCCATTATCTCAAGAAGAGAAAGCAATTATTAATTAATTAGACTCTACCAAATTCAACGTCAGGACTCTGATTAACAAATTAGTGTTAGATTATCTTACACAAGACCACCCAAACTGGGCATTTATTCAATACATCAAAATGGAGTAACACAAGGTTTTAGGTTTAATTTTAAGTCAGCTCTAACCAGATATATCGAGAGCGTAATAGCATTAGGGCAAATGTGCAGTCCATTTACTTTGAGCAATCCTCCATGTTCAACATTTCAGATTAACTCATGCGGGTTAGTAGAAAAGAAGGGTTCAAACCCCAAGATATACAGAATAATTTCGCATCTTTCAGCCCCACATGGCAAGAGTATAAATGATGGTATTGATCTTACAGATTTTGCAACCAAATATAAAAATCTAAACCATGCAATTAGCTGGATAACAAAATATGGTCATGGCTGCTTGTTATCAAAAATCGATATTCAAGATGCATATCGTATCTTACCAGTACACCCAGCCAATCAAGTATTGCAAGGATTGCAGCATGAGGGTAGAGTTTATTTTGATAAAGCTTTAGCTTTTGGAAATAGAGCATCAGGGGTATTTTCTGCCACTTCGCTGACCTTATTGCTTGGATAGCAGTACAATATGGTATAAAGTCAATCATTCATTATGTTGACGATTTCTTAATCATATCTAAAACAGATGCACCACAAGAACTACAACAATTCCTTCACATATTAAAAATACTAATATCCCTTACAAACCGTCCAAATTAGAAGGCCCGTCAACTACATTGACATTTTTAGGCATTCAAATCGATACAGACACATTTTCAGCATGTATCTCAGAAGCAAAAAAGCAAAAAATCATAGAGCTACTTACAGAATAGCATGACAAAAAATGGCGCTACAAGAAGGAGATACAATCGTTAGTAGGTTCACTAATGTGGTTGTGTCAAGTGATCCCCCAGGGCAGACCATTTGTCCAATGTTTTATCAAAAAACTCGAAGGTTCTCAAAATTCAAAACGTCGTATGAATATGACTAGTCCAATGAAGGCCAACATAAGTTGGTGGTTAAATATACTACCCAAATGGTCTGGGATGTACTTCATGGAAGACAGAGCATGGCTACATCCGGGTACACAGAACCTGTATACTGACGCATCAAATTTGGGTGGGGGCGCAACATTTGATACATATTTTACAGTGTTTAGCTGGTCACATGAGATTAGCTTATCAGATTATAATATTCAAGCGCGTGAGCTATTAACTTGTTTAGTTGCAATGCTTACATTTGCACCACTGGGGCTACAAAAACGGTTAATCATTTGGACTGATAACCAAGCTAATGCGGAATCATATTACTCTGGTTTCTGCAAAAATCTAACTATCAACAACATAGTAGCTGATATGTATATGGCTCAAATATGGGGCAACTATTCTATTAGACTTGAGCATGTTCCAGGCAAGAATAACAAAAATGCAGATTTACTATCACGTAGAGGTCATATGCAATACAAAGCACAGAATCCCTGGGCACGATACTTACAACCTGTAATTCCAGCAAACTATACTAACCTAATAACAACAATATCATTTAATTTGTAGGAACAAATAAGGTAACCGCTGTGAGAAATAAGTTAGTACGGCAGTACACACAGACATCCAATAATGGCACAGACAGAATGCCACTAAATGAACAAGAAGCAGTAATCCTAGGTATAGAGCCATTAAAACACAAAACCTACAGAGCAATCATTAAACGTTACGAAGCATTGGCTAAAGAGAATGAGTGGACCAATGAGGATAAGTCAGTATGGCCAATTTCAAGAGAAAACCTCACCAGGTTTATAACGCACTTACACCTGAAAGTAGCCCCCCAAACTATCACATCATATTTGTCGGCTCTTAAGCACCACCACACCATGAATCACCTGAAGTGGGACGAAATACGCTATGATCCACTAATAAAGCAGTTACTGAAGACGATAGAGAATAATCACATATTTAAACCAACAAGACAAAAAGAGCACATAACACGTGACCAACTATGGTTAATTAAAACAAAGCTAAATCCTGGGGAACCTGACGACATATTATTTTGGTCAGTTGCATTGGTAGCATTTTACGGATTGGCACGTCTAGGCGAGCTTTTACCAAAGTCAAACCAGGATATGGGTAAGGTACCCATAGTGCAGGCGCTGAAATTTGATAAGCTTGGTGAAGACATATTCGCAATTATACAGCTACCTAGAACTAAAGTTCACAAAGTAACCGAACGCCCTACCCTTATCATCAATTCAACGAAGGATGGATTATGCCCAATTGCAGCGCTTAAAGCATATACGATCATTAGAACCAAACCAACATACGCACCCAGAGAGGAAATACTATTCATCAAAGGCAATGGAAGGTTAGCTACGAAAAGATGGTTTATAGATACTCTCAAGGCATTCCTACCTGACTCCAACGTAGCCGGGTACAGCTTTCGTGCAGGAGGGACAACTGAATTGGTACTGCGGGGCGTGCAACTGCCACTAATCCAGAGGGTAGGCAGATGGTCTTCGGATGCCTTCTACAAATACATTAGGGCACACCCGGCAACGGTGGCATCTATATTAAGCAAAGCATATTCAACATAACGATCGGATGACGTATATACCTTGGATTCCCGATCGTTACGTGTGAAAAAAAAAAAAAGGGGGGAATAAAATATAATAAAAAAAAAAAAAAAAAAAGGGAAATAATAACAATAAGGGGTAAAGGGTATGTAGTACGATGAATAAAAGTGAAATAAAGATCGAGCAATTGAGCAGACACAGTGATAATATGCATCACGCAAAAAAAAAAAAAGAAAAAAAAAAAAAAAAAGGAGGTACGGGGGGCGCAAGCCCCCAGGTACGACGGCAAAATGGCAGCATTCAAATACTATTGGCACCAGGGGAATCCTGCCATTTTGTCATTCCTTTAAACTTCATGTCCAGTCGGCCTGCTTTATGCAGTGTGGGAGACCACCGGCTGATGATACGCATTACGAATTGTGCTGATGACGGTTATACCCGGCGCAAATCGTGATTGCTATTTCCGGGAGCATAGCCAGTCTCAGCTTGTGCATCATTCGCACCGATGTACGCTGCTGCCGCATATTGTCAATAAATTCGATTAATAAAGTTCAATGTCTGGCTTTAGCGGTCAGATGCTTCCAAATAAATGCTCACATGCGTGCAATGATTTTCGTTCAAGTTGACGTAAGACAACAGATCGAAAAGCTGGCTAAGCAGTGACTGCCAAAATCGGAAAACTGGTCAGAGACCGGTTCAGCGGTCATCAGGACGAATTGAGTAAATTCCCAAACGCATGAGATAACACATGCGAAGATAAGTGTCATTTAATCAACTGCTCTGTTTGGAATTATTAATAGTTACTAATCGGAACCTTATTATATATGGGAATAGAGCCTGCGTACGATCAGACAATTCGCGATTGCAGAAGCAAGTTCGCACCCGGACCCACCCGCCCAGGGGAATCCTGCCATTTTGTCATTCCTTTAAACTTCATGTCCAGTCGGCCTGCTTTATGCAGTGTGGGAGACCACCGGCTGATGATACGCATTACGAATTGTGCTGATGACGGTTATACCCGGCGCAAATCGTGATTGCTATTTCCGGGAGCATAGCCAGTCTCAGCTTGTGCATCATTCGCACCGATGTACGCTGCTGCCGCATATTGTCAATAAATTCGATTAATAAAGTTCAATGTCTGGCTTTAGCGGTCAGATGCTTCCAAATAAATGCTCACGTGCGTGCAATGATTTTCGAAATTTTTATTTGTTGTGACTAGGTTGTCCGCATTGTAGCATCATTGTCAGAAATTTCTTGGCATGCAGCACTTTCAACTTTCAGTAACTTTTATTAAAGAAAAAAACTAATTATAATTGGCAGAAAAACAGTGTATCCAAAATTTGCAGACTGGAACAATTTTAATGGAATATATCAAACTGAAATAGTTAATTAATATTACTTAAGAACTGTAGTTAAAATGAATACCGTATATCTCCGAATATAAGCAATCCTGAATTAAAGCAACCTCCAGATTTTAAAACTGAAAATTTGGCAAAAGTTATGTTTACTAGTAAAATTATTTCTGAATATAAGCAAACTCTTCATTTCGACTCGAAAAATTTGTAAAATTGCGGTCGCTTATATTTGAAGATATCCGTCAAGTATGAAAACTTTATATTTATATACGATCGATCTAAATTTTTAAAAGGAAAATTATTTTCCTGCATTTAAGCAAATCTTGAGTAGTTAGTTAAGTTCTGTTCCTGGTTTTGCGCGATGGCGTCACGCAGCTATCTAATTAAAGTTTACACCAGTGAAGAAAATCTGAAATTTTTTTTTTGTTTTTTGAGAACATAAATTTTAGAGTTAATGTTCTTATTAATAAAGTTTTACTATATTCAAAAAAATATTATGTTCTCAAAATACTACTAATTATACTAAAAATTAAAAAATTTTATGTTCTCATTCTGAGAACATAATTTTTAAATATTGTGTTCTCAAAAAATGTTTTAATGTTCTCAACGTTGAGAACATTAGATTTCCAACACTGGTTTACACCTAAAAAAATGCTAAATTCGGCTGCAGCTGATTAGTGACAGTTACACAATCTTATTAACATACCCTGAATAGAAAAAATCCACTAATCCAAACAAATAACACCCATTGTACGTATTGTACGTACGTACGTATGTATGTACGTCCATACCAGTAAGGATGGCAAGTATTTTAAAACACAATGTTTTAAATCAGTTTTATATTGTTCTAAAAAGTTGTTTATTGTTTTAA